TGTGGCCTCGGTATTGTGTTATCATATACAAAATCACCTACCTGATACATAAACTCTTGACCATCTACATTCATTGTAACATTAGGGTGTTGAAAATATGGACTGGTTTTCCATTTATCACCCTGCGTTAGCGAGTCTCTAATGCCTTCAGTATAGTCAGGCAGTGCACTCAACTTTTGCGAAATAGAAGGATTAGCATTGATGATCTTCAAAGTAGTGGACGGCTTTTGAAGATACAGTTTATGCTTTTCTTCCATACCTGCGCGCTTCACGACTCTTTCAACCAATTCTGGTTTGAAAGTGGGAATTTCGTTACGCTTGTTTTCCTCGTAACGCATTGCCCAATGCAGTGAAGGCACCCTAACTTCCTTTCTTTCATGGTCATCGCGACCAATTTCAACAGCGGCTGCCACAAGATCAAGAACCTTTTGTCTATCCTGGCGTGATTGCAAGTTATCACTGCCGTCAAAAAAGGCTCTCAGCAGAAACTCAAGCTTGTTATTGAAAGGAAAGTAAGGATTGCTAGAGTCTGGCACTTCATCCTCAATTCTCCATGTAGACTCCATGCTTACACCCCCATATTCATCGACTCTGTCTTCATCAGTCAAAGGAACAGTTGAAGATCCGGTGAATGTTCCACTGTACTCTGTGGTGAGACCCGTAAGGAGATTCGTGAATCCGTGAAGTCCTTCTGCGGTTTCACTTCCACTTTCATCATCACCCCCATCGACTTCTTCGTCTTCCTCTTCATCTTCAGCCTCAAATCCTTCCATGTGTTGGCTACCAACAACATCGCTCTCTATACCAGGACGCATCAAGGTATCACCATCTTCATTACCAACACCGTGGTCGTCCACTTCCATAGGCGCTGCATTGACAACAGGAGGATTATCATCTCCAGCATCGAAATCATCTATATCGCCCTCAGCGCTTATAAAAGCACCACTTTGGGTAGCGCTAGTATTAGGCACAATACCATGATCAGTATTTTGATTACTGAGAGTTGAACTTCCATTCCGTTCAACATAATTTCGAAGATTATCGCGATGCTTCTGAGTACTCATATGCCTAATTTTTCGCGAGTATCTTGAATTGCAATAGTTGCGAGTAGAATGCGGGCTCGAAGAAAATCTACCCATGAACATGTTTTGTGTTTGATGTGACATTTTGCTTAAGAGAAGTAAGAATTGAGGAAGAGCATATTTGCATAAGCTGCTCTTTATATATTGTTCTGATTCGCCAAGACGAAGAGGAACAACTCCGATTTATTATTAAGCAGCAACACGCACGCGTAATCTGACTCAGCAAGCTTTTCTTCTTGGCTTTTTTCTTCTTGGTCTTGGCATGCGTTATTCATCTGAGGCATTGAGCATAACTTATTATTCTTCATCTCAGAGTCTTCGACACTTCTTGGCATGTGTATTATTACTAATCTCTTTAGATTATTAATATAGGATGTTAAAGAACTGCTAAATATAAAGGTAATGTGTCAGCGTTAGATGGTTGATTAACAATGTACTAAAAGTATTACTTTATTGGAGACGAAATGAGTCAGGTAAGTCCATCAAAATTAAAGGTAAGTATAAAATCATAGTAATAACAACATTAGTATTATTAGCTTATGCTTTAAACGCTTAAAGAAGAGTGTACACTGCTGGTAAGTTAAAGACTCCTTTTGTGTTGCTGCTATGCAATCTTTTTTCCTCTCCAAGTGTGCTGCTGTCTATTTGTAGGGCTATCTTAACAAATGACGAGAAACTCTTGAACGGTAAGCATGTCATTTTTCTGTGTATGTCTTTTGATTTTGAATACTGACTCAAACACGTTATAAAAACGATAGATTACAGAAACCCACTGATGCCCTAGGATAGTATCCCTAGGATTGTGTCCCAGGATTGGAACAAGCAAAACAAATCTCGCTGTGCTTTTTTGTGCTTCAGGATGATTTGCGATAGAATTATTGTTTTTTGTAAATTCAATCAAATAAAAAAAAATTTCAAAACGAATACTCCTGATATCCATCGCTGATACATTTGCGTGCAACCCCCCACCCCCACCATCTCATTTTCAGGCTGGTGAGTGCTGGTACCTGCTCATCCATAAAAGGCAATTTTAGTGAACCTGCATGAGTCTAACCATAAAAAGTATTTCCAATTCTGAAAAGTTCTTACCTGGGTGTGTAGTATCTTTTTTAATTTTTTTAGAGGTAGCCATCACTATCAATTTTACAAGATATGATATCCACTACGTTGCCTGTTTATATCTCTGCGAGTTTTATAGCTGTGACTGCGAAATTTGGTACACACATATGCGATATATTGGGTTACCGTTACACAAAATTTAAAGAAACTCCGACACTCATGTCGCTCAAAAGTGCCCGGGTTCCTATATTGAACATTAGCCAAGTGCAGTACATGTATCTATCATATATGGCAACAATATAACAAAACGGCAATAGCAGTCACATAGTATATAGGCTTTTTTTCTTGAGAAAACTTTATTCTCAGAGCTATTACTAGCCAATGAGATATACTACAGAGCTATGATAAGAATTCTGTTATATAAATCAAATGCTGTACAGTCATTGGTCGGCTCAAAATTAGCAGTCACATCTCTAGATTATTACTTTACATAGTAACTGATGACTTTTTTTGGAGAATTATTTTCTCAAAGGGGTTTCTTGTCAACTAAACACCCTACAGTGCCCTACTAAAAATCCTACTAATTAAGTCACATCTTAGCTATCTACTCATATACTGCACTTTACAGCACTGTAGCTACAATATTGCACCTTCTAGAAGTCTTAATCCACCTTAAATAAAGCTACTTTTAGTGATTTTTACACATCCTCTTATGTAATGTCTAAAATAAGCAATGTGACTGTCTTCAGTAAAAACATATTTAGATGTATATACATCATCTGTATATGCCTACAAAGTTTTATAGCAATAGCATTAATAATAGATGAGCTACAGGATTTTTCATCTCCTAGCGGACGTTTGAACTTTTATTTAGGCAGAGTGGACATGAATGTTAGTCTGAGTGGACATGAATGAAAGTTAATCTGGACATGAATAATAATTGATCTGGACATGAATGAAAATCGAGCTGGACATGAATGAAAATCGAGCTGGACATGAATGAAAATCGATCTAGACATGAATGAAAATCGAGCTGGACATGAATGAAAATCGAGCTGGACATGAATAAAGATCGATCTGGACATGAATATAAAACGATCTGGACATGAATATACATCGACCTGGACATGAATATAAATCGATCTGGACATGAGTAAAATCAATCTGGACAAAATAAAAATCAATCTGTACATGAATGAAAATCATTCTGACAAGAATAATAATCAATCTAAACATGAATAATAAACAACCTGGACATAATAACAGTCAACCTGGACATAGTTTTAGTCAACTAAGACATAATAAAAGTTGAAGTAGATAATATATTAAGTGTAGCAGAGCAGAATATATGAGTACTTAAAATTTTCAATTCAAGTCAAGACATAATAGAAGTTAAGCAGTACAAAGCCAATGTCAAGATATAGTAGTATGGCTGTTTCACTCGTGACAAGAAGCTTGTAGGCTAATGTACAGGAAATAGCAAGGGTGCGTCAGAGACTCACCACTGTGCGCATAAGGCATAAGCCTACTTTGCTGCTGTGGGAATAGGGCCTGAGCATTTCCCCTCATTTCACTTTACCCGGGTTGAGTTTGAAACAAATTGGAGGCTGGTGGCAGAGGTAGGTGGAAAGTGTGGGGTTTGTTAGTAGTAGCAGGGAGGAAAAAAACAACAACCAAAGATCCTTTTTCTTTCTCAATACCATTCGCCATGGCAAATCAACAGCTTCGACGCACACTTGTAAATGGCTCCTACTCTCTTCACGATGAATAAAAAACAAAGAAAACAAAACGGCACAATCCATGGATTTATATGAAAAACGAAATGAAGGTAACTGTTTTCTTAAAAAAAGCATGTGCTCAAGATTTATAAAGGAGTAGACCGCCGTTACTGCTGCTTAAAAAAACGCTGGATAAGTGAACAAGGGAAGGAAAAGGTTATCGGGTGTGCTTGAGGTATAGCTTTAGTGGAGATATGCCCATTCAGAATTACTGCTTCTTTCTCTTTTTCTATGTATATACTTATGCACCATCTTATACCATTCCAACGTCAAACTTACGTGCGTAATACAACATCGTCCTCTACCTGCACAAACCATTCGTATTCACAACAAGAACGACGTAACAATCTTCTTCTCCATTACTCAAACACAATCATATACAACATGACGCTGATCCGCCCTTGACTTGCAAAACATACAGCCTGACGCGATTACTTTTTTCCTTTTTGCATATAACAATGTTAACATCGCCGGTCTTTATGGATGAATGAGCTGTAGATAGCAAGAAGGATAACTGACGGGTTTCTTTCCGTTTGTGTTGATGTGGATTGGATGAAAATAAAGTATGATGGCCGATATATAAGAAAGACAAAAAAGAAGGTTCTATAAGAGTTATACAAGTGCGAAGGATGTTGTTTCGTGGTGAAGGATGGTTATTGTAATTATTGATATTGCGTGGCAGAGCGTCTGGTGCCATGCACAGTCTCGCGTTTGTGAACCTATTTGTAGCCACACAATTCCGAGATGCGATCCTTGAAGATCTGCCATCGAGCAGCAGGAACGCACACGAATTCATTAGGAATGAGTGCAAGAACTCCACGTACAGTCGAGTGAGAGAGAGCGTAGCGAATGACGTCAAGGGTACTAACATGTCGGTTGTTCATAGTTGTTTTTATTAAAAACAAATAAAGTTGCTGTTGTAATAGCAAAAAACTTCCTCCTTCATAACAACAAACGCGTTTTCTTCTTTGTCCCTGCCATATTATCATCACCGCTCAGAGCTATATTTATAGTTTTTATAGAAGCACTTGTAATAACATGCAATACTATTTCACACCCGTTTATGCAGACAACTGAAACATAATGACTACATAATGTATGATCTTTTACTTTTATTTTTTTCATCCCAACCATAACATCTACAGTAACAATAATAAAACCCTACATACCACCCATCAGCATATATAGCTACCTTATCCATCAAGACCGGCAATGTTCGTGTTGGCATATGCAAAAAGAAAAAGGTAATCGTTGTTGCCATCGTGTGTGTGCGAGTACAGCGAATTGCAGAGGAGGATTATAGTTGTGGTGGTGTGTATGCATCATAGGAATATAATTATCATCACATTGATGTGTATACCAACAGCAAAGAAAGAGATGGCCGTCATTACGATGATGATGTGCTTGAGCGTACAAGTATCAAAACAAAAGACCGGCGTCATAGTCGTCATCGTGTAATATGGGCGTACATGATAGTGAAAGGCAAATGCGTCAGGCTGTATATTTTGCAAGTCAAGGGCGGATCAGCGTCATGTTGTATATGATTATGTTTGAGTAATGGAGAAGAAGATTGTTACGTCGTTCTTGTTGTGAATACGAATGGTTTGTGCAGGTAGAGGACGATGTTGTATTACACACGTAAGTTTGACGTTGGAATGGTATAAGATGGTGCATAAGTATATACATAGAAAAAGAGAAAGAAGCAGTAATTCTGAATGATAATATCTCCACTAAAGCTATACCTCAAGCACAACCGATAACCTTTTCCTTCCCTTGTTCACTTATCCAGCGTTTTTTTAAGCAGCAGTAACGGCGGTCTACTCCTTTATAAATCTTGAGCACATGCTTTTTTTAAGAAAACAGTTACCTTCATTTCGTTTTTCATATAAATCCATGGATTGTGCCGTTTTGTTTTCTTTGTTTTTTATTCATCGTGAAGAGAGTAGGAGCCATTTACAAGTGTGCGTCGAAGCTGTTGATTTGCCATGGCGAATGGTATTGAGAAAGAAAAAGGATCTTTGGTTGTTGTTTTTTTCCTCCCTGCTACTACTAACAAACCCCACACTTTCCACCTACCTCTGCCACCAGCCTCCAATTTGTTTCAAACTCAACCCGGGTAAAGTGAAATGAGGGGAAATGCTCAGGCCCTATTCCCACAGCAGCAAAGTAGGCTTATGCCTTATGCGCACAGTGGTGAGTCTCTGACGCACCCTTGCTATTTCCTGTACATTAGCCTACAAGCTTCTT